ATGTTTCACCGTTCACGGGTCTTCTAGGGAATGCGCTATAACACCGAGGAAAACGCATTTTGTCGAGAATCAGCGATAGGGCGTCAGTTGCCTAGTAGATATGTTGCTATTAGAGGTCACTGACAATACCAGGTCACGTCACAGGTCAGGTCACCAAGGGTCACAGGTCAGGTCACATGAGCCCAACTTTACTAAGGTTGTGTGATGCATGTTTTATGGCCAATTTTTCATTTCCAACTCAATGGTGTTGGTTATAAGACTATCAGGTACGGCTTAGGTCACTTTCTGGTGAAGTTCAGGTCAAGGTCAGGTCAAGGTCAGGCCAAAAAAGGTCAAATTTTAAAGTTGATAGTTTTGCATAAAATGGTTATTGATTCGATGCAGCTCGTCGCGGGGAGTCTAATGGTGGTCTTTGTTTTGCGCTACGGTATCTAGAATTGCTAAAAATTGAGTTTGAAAATTTGACGTCATCAATTTTGAACAGTTTTTTCGCTATAACTTCGCCAAAAAAAGAGGTATTAATCTTAAATTTGGTATGTGGATGGAAGGCGGTAAGGACTATCACATATATTCCGGTTTTTGCGAAATTCAAAAAACTTTTGGGATTTTTCGATCATTATATCCAAAAAAAATATTTATTGATTTTTGGGGGTCAAAATCCAAAAATTTCAAAAATCCGAGATAGCAGTATTGTAGCCCTTTCAATTCTACAGCTTTTATGTCTTTATCGTTTTTCTGTATTTGCAAAGCTATAGGCCTGACAGCTCTTCCCGCGAAACCCTTTTTTGGGTCGAAAACGGCAGAACATGACGTCACTCTGACGTCATTTCCGGCCAACCTATCATAGCCTTTGGAAAAAATTTCTGGTCACCATATGTAAAATTGATGTCCGGGAGGGTACTGAAAGTTTGGTGACGATCGGCGCAGCGGTTCTGGAGATATATTGAAAAGTCTGGAGGGGGGCAAAAAATAGCCCCCCCCTTCACCAGGTTGCGGGTTAAAGCGTGACTGACGCGTCACATACGGACATTTTGATTTTTATATAAGTAATAAATCATAATATAGATAGATATCAAAATGACAATTAATTAGCATGGTTACCTATTACTGATGCAATCCAATAATCAAGACATGGCCTGTGAAGTCCACAATCTTGATCTATAACTGGTGGCAGACTAAGCAAGGAGGGACAATGAACGCTGACCCGAGCATGCAAGATTGAGATGCACTAACTTTGAGCCGTCAAACACTGATAATACCCTGTTTGCTGAAGTGTCGCTGACCTGAGGTCAACCTTTTCTTTTAATGTATTGTTGCTTGTGTAACCATCATGCAGATGTGTTATGAAATAAATTTTGGTGATGACGCGCATGTTCTTACAACTGAGGTGGTGAATGGTGATGGCGGATGAAAGCAGAACTGCTGCTCGACACTCGTTCAAGCTGAAATGCTCTGTTGCTTAACCCGGCCGGGCCCGGGGGGTAATCCCAACCACCGCAGCCCGGGGGGGGGGGCGTTTTTCGCCCCCCCTGTCTAACTCCGTAAATAAGGGAGCTACGGAAACAAAAGCGATACCAAACGAAAGGTCCTTATGAGACGATTCTAATGCACCCAAAATTTTTGACCTCAGGTCAATTTTCAAGGTCAGAGGTCAAGGTCAAAGGCCAAAACCGGCACATGTGTAGTGATCTCAAAGTAAGCATTCTAGAGGACGGCAGGCTGCATCAAACCGGCAAAATTGGGTGTCAAACGAAAGAAGAGAATCTGAGGATTCTGAAAAGGTGCTCCAAATCAAAGGTCAAGGTCAAGGTCACGCTCAAAATTGACCTCAAATTTGGCACTTTTTCGCACATCTTGCGTGCTAACTTCAAAGATGTTTTGAAATGTTTTGAGGCTTATCAGTTCCCTATTTGTGGTTCATCTTACGATACAAGGCTGCTCAAAGGTCAAGGTCACAGAAGAGTATCCCTGCTAGAGGCTATTTCACTGATTCAAGTTAGTAATAATAAATAAGACGATTTTGCCATCCAGAAGCTCTAAATGAAGGCTTAGAGGAAAATAGATGCCAGATTCGTGATCAGCGGGTACAAATCCATCATAAACGACCTTTCATGTGTCAAGGTCAACCAGAGGTCATTCGAGGTCACATGAGGTCAACATGAAACTTGACCTTTTCCGAACAAAATATATATCATTCGACGCAGCTTGACAAGGCGAATGCGATGGTACCACTGCCGTAGCTCTAGGACCATTTTTGTCGAAGTTATTTGCGAAAAACTAAAACCACATTTCGGGGTCGTTGACCTGACCTCTGACCTCAGGTCACCGAAACTATTTTTCTATTTTTCTCTAGGTCAAACGCTACACAGCCGTGCTCGTAATTTGTCTTTATCTCTAAAACTCTATTTTTAGCAGCTATTTGAAGTTTGCGTCTGTGACGCCGAAGTTTGCCGTGCAGGGGTCTAGAAAAATGGACCTTGTGACGTCATCAAGGGGGCTAGGTCCGAATTTTTTACTTCAGAAGATGTCAAATTGATGGGAGAAAAGGTACTGAAAGTTTCGCCTTCCTATCCCTAAGCGTTCGTGAGTTATCGCAAATATTCGCCAGGGGGGGCGAAAAACGCCCCCCCCCGGGCCCGCGAGGGTTAACCCGCGCCCCGTAGGGCTACCGGCGGACCCTACCACCCGTAGGGGGGGGGGGGGGGGGCGTTTCGGCCCCCCCCTAAGATCTCGGAACTTAAGCGGCCCATTTTCAAAATTCAAACGGCATTTGATAGCCCCACTCGGGAACTACCTTGTGACCAAATATCATTGACCTAGGTCAAACCGATGACGTCACAGGTCAGGTCAAAGGTCAGATTTTCACCGTTCACAGGCATTTCAAGAAATGTGTTGTGAAATCGAGTAAATTAGTAATTTATTGAAAACCATCGATGGTACATTGTTCGTCAAACACATACTTTGGTATCTGAGGTCACTGATACCAGGTCAGGTCACAGCGAGGTCAGGTCACCGGTTGTCACAATATGAAAGTGTCGTGTGATACATGTTTTATGGTCTATTTTACATGACAAATGCGATTATGTGGGTTAGGCAGCCTTTGGGGCCAGCCTTGGTCACGTCTTGGTAAAGGTCAGGTCAAGGTCAGGTCAAATTAGATCGAATTTCAAAATTGATATTTTTGCATAAAATGGGTATCGATTCGATGCAGCTCGTCACGGGGAGTCTAATGGTGGTCTGTGTTTTGCTCTAAGAGGTCTAGAATTGTCAAAAATCCAAAAATTGAGTTTGAAAATTTGACGTCATCATTTTTGAACAGTTTTTTTTTTCGCTATAACTTGGCCAAAAAACGAGGTATCGATCTGAAATTTGGTATGTAGATAGAAGACGGTAGGTACTATCACAGATATTCCGTTTTTTTTCGAAACTCAAAAAACTGTTTGGATTTGTTTGCTAATATATAAAAAAAATGCTTTTTGGTTTTTGGGGGTCAAAACTCAAAATTTCAAAAATCCGAGATTGCAGTTTTGTAGCCCTGTAAATTTTACACCTTTTATGTGCTGAACATTTTTCTGTATCTTCAAAGCTGTAGGCCTGACAGGTCTTCTCGCGAAGGTCTTTTTTCGGTCTAAAATGACAGAACATGACGTCATTCTGACGTCATTTGTGGCCAACCTATCGTAGCCTCTGGAAAATTTTTGGTCACAATGTGTAAAATTGATGCCCGGAGGGGTCCTGAAAGTTAGGTGGCGATATCTCCAGCCGTTTACGAGATATCGAACGAGAAGTTCAGGGGGGGGGGCATTTCGGCCCCCCTACGGGGCGCGGGGGTATTGTTAGTTTAAATATATGGCTCAATTTCTGCAACTTCTGCATTCAATTGTCAATAATGTCTTGCCTATGTTTGCTGAAAGCACTAAGCAGAATCAGCATACTAACATAAGCCTGGGAACTGGAGAGTCCTCGCCCCAGCGTCGCTGCTAGGCAAACCTCAAGTAAAATTATATGCACATCTTGCACCTGGCAAACTGAAGCAACACCACACCCTATCCTTACCTCTGTGCAGGACCAGCTGACAACCGAACCTTCAGCAGGCGGGTTTCGCATGCAAGTTGTACTGTGTACTGTGTAGCTATGTGACTGATGTCGGGATAGTGCTGTCAAGTGTGTGGAAAGGTATGTATTTCTTGAGTGAAAAGTAGGATCTGAAATTATCAATTAAATGTGACTTGCAAATAAACTGAGTAAAAATTGCAAAACCTGAAATATGACTGGTTTAGTAATTAGTTGGAGTGTCTGGATCCAACCCGCCTCATGGTTGGAGATGGACCGCTGCCTGACTCGCGCACACTGCTACCTACTTGCACGTGGACAAGTTTGAGTGGATGATTGCGCCCTAGATCATGTCATTGCTGTGGCTGCTGTTGGCCGAGGGGTGTTGTTCGCTGCCATTGCTGCTGCTGCTGCTGCCCTGCGCGACGGCTTGCAGCTCACCGACTGAACGGCTTGGCGCTTGCAGGCATCCTGCTGTAAGTACAACTGGGGTAGGTTCTTTCTTCACAGTTTTTAAAGAATGAAGAGTCTGGCCTAAAATTTACCTGAAGCTCTTCTAAATAAGCTGAATAAAAGGCAAAATTTGAGATGACTGAATTTGGGTGCCAAGGTGACTATCAGAACTTCTAACTTGCTGAATGCTGTGACTCAGAACAAGGCAAGGCTAGGTGTTGAACAATGATCGTTACACATCGCACGCGTAGGTTGTATTAGCATATGTAACAAAGTTCATTCCCAGCCCCCTGCCCTTACTAACAATGTCCTTTTATGGTCCTCGTTCCTTACCTGTGACGCCTGTCCTGACCCGCTTCTGATTGGTGTTATGATATGACGTACATGTGTGACGTATGTATGACGCGTGGTATATGTCGCGCCGGAGCGGGCCGAAGCCCCGGCAGTCGAGTCGAGTGGGAGAGACAGCAACGACTCGGACCGAGTGAGGGCCGCTCCCTCGCCGGTCGCTTATCTTCACTTGTTCTTTTCGGCTCGTCATCTCGATTGAACTCATTATCTCGAACATTCAAATATAACGGGAGAGTGAAACGCTGCATTTTTATCACGAACTTTATTACAGCATATAAACACACATTAAAGCAAATTCAAAAACGACCTTTCCGAAATCACACCTCGGTCAGACTGAGGGACACGATTCGCGCGCCGTCACAGCCCCGTGCACAGAGCACCATCCCAAGCTACCGCAGTCGCTTACACAATTCGCTCGTAGAACAGCATGTAAGCTTGCGCCTTGAGCACCTTGTCCAGAGTCACCTCTGTGACGTGCGTGTCACTCACGTAAAACCACCGCCGGGCCTCCGGCTGCGGCTCCGGCTCCGTCTCGGGCTCCGGGGCGGGCTGTTTTTGATCCGTCTGTGACTCCTGTGGCGCGGCGGCGGGGTCCTCGCCCTCCCCGTCTTCCCGGCCCTCCTCTGCGGGCCTGACCGGGGACGGTCCGTCCGTGGTCTCCGGTCGGGTCTGCTCGGCGCGCTGCCTCGCCCGCTCACACGCCACGGCGAACGCGTCGGTGACGAGTGTGGTGAGTCGCGCAGGGTTGACGGTGAGCTGGTCGTGACGGCGGCGCACGCGCACGTAGGCTGTGTAGTGGCCGCTGGTCAGTCGACCGCTGTGCTCAACGACACCAAACAGCGAGTAGAGCACCCGCCGCTGGCCGGCCCGCATCTGAGGCAGGTCCTGGCTGATGGAGGAACAGAAGGGGGCCAGATCGAGCCGCTCGCCGAACTGCACGTGCCGGTTCACCTTCCGCAGGCTGAAGCTGCACACCTCGAACCGCTTCAGGTGGATGGTCAGCACCGGCGGCGGACTGTAGATGAGCAGCTGCTTCCTGGCGTTGCTGTATACTGTGCCGAGTTTCTTCTCAGCTGCTTTTTCAGCCGCCGTGAGCCGTTTGTTGCGCAGCTCGGTGCAGTTGTCGCAACCGAACTTGTTGTTGCCGGTGAGCAGCTCGGGCGCCGTGTACTGGTTAAGGCAGGTGAGCAGGCTGCACTCGCCGGCGGCCGCCTGGTAGCGCGGCGCCAGGGTGGTCAGAGCTCGACTGAGCCACTCACAGCGGCTCAGCGGCGGCGGCGGGCCGTCCGAGGGATTGGCCGCCGGTGAGGGGGTCCCCGTCCCTTCGGCCGGGGCAGACTCGGTTGGCGCGCAGGTCCCGCCGTTCGGCGCAGACTGGAGTTCGCCGCCGTCCGCCACCCCTGCCGTTGAGCTCTGGCCGTTCGCCACTGCCTCCGTCGGCACACCGCCCGGCACCTCACCGGGTGACGGCGACTGGCCCTCCCGCGGGGCCTCCTCGGCTGCCCTTCCGCAGTGACCGTTCGGAGCGCCCAGACTGTTCTCACGCGCCTCCACAGCCTCTCCGCAGTTCTCCGCCGGCACAGAGCTCTGCTTCTCCCCCACCTGGTCCGCTCCCGCCGTCTCCGGCGCACCGTTCGGGGCTTTGTCAGCACTCTCCCCGACCAGTGGCACCAGCCCGGCCGGCGCCGCGTCCGCCTCCACCGGTGACGACGGCCGGCCGTTCACCGTCAGCGGGCCCGGCTCGTCCCCACACGAGTCCGCAGCGGCCGCGGCGCCGGCGCGGTCCACAATCAGCGCGCTGAGCCGCTCCGAGAGCTCCTCCGCGGCCAGGTCGGCCGGCGGGTCCGGACTGACCGAGGCAGGCGGCTCGTCAGCCGGCGGGTCGGGGTTGACCGAGGCCGGCGGCTCGTCAGCCGGCGGGTCCGGACTGACTGAGGCCGGCGGTTCGTTCAGCTCGTCTTCCGTCGAATCCCCACTGACCGAGGCCGGCGGCGGGTCGAGCTCCGACAGCAGGCTGAAGATGATATCTTCGGCGGCGGGCAGCGAGAGGTCGAGGAAGGGCTCCATGCGGTGTGTGCAGGCCATGCAGGCCTGACACACCACCAGGCTGACCAGCTGGCCGCTGAAGATGGAGTCGATGGTCGTATGCGATACCTGGTGGCCCAGCGCCTTGGCACGCGCCTTCATGTCGTCGGGTACTTCCTTGGGGTCGGCCTTGGCCGGCAGCCCCAGACCGAGCAGGATCTGCTTCTGGTGCCGCCGGAGATCCTCAAGCCGCGCCTGCTCCATGAGCGCTCGCAGCAGCTCGTGTGCGTCCTGCTGGTCGCAGCCCACAAACTGGGGCACCTTCAGGGCGATCTTTCTGAGCAGATGACTGGGGGAGACGGTGGAGCCGGTGCCCGTGATGTGCATCTTCTTGAGAAAGTCGCACAGCGAGGCGGTGATGGGCCCGCCCTCCGGCAGCACCAGCTCCATGGTCTCGCCGTCAGCGCTGACTGTGACCTTTCGTCCTGGGCGGCTGCTGATGTCTAGGTAGTGCGTCAGGTACCGCCAGTTTTGCTGCCCAGGATGACAATGAAATGAACCCATTTCTCGAATTGAATGTGTCCCGGGTGATGATATGAGCGGCTTCTAACGTTTTTCTTGTCTTCTTTTCTATATTTCTTTCTAATATTTTTGTCTCAGCCCAGTCTGGTAAATGATTGCATTTGTCTTCATGACGGACGATGGCATTCGACCCTCTATGATATTTGACATTGCTTCGATGTTCTTTTAGGCGTACGTCAATGCCCCGTCCTGTTTCACCTACGTAACTTTTTTCGCAACCTTTGCAAGGGATTTCGTATACTACACTCTTTTCTTCATTTGTATTTTTATCTGATGACGTTGTTTTGGCTATTTCTTGTATCTGGATTCCTGTTTTCGTTGCGACCTGAATGTTCGTTTTCTCGAGTTCTCGCGAAATTACGTCAGCTTTGCTCGAATTCGGAATTGTTATGTATCTTTTCGTTTTCTTCTTCTTCGTGCTTGTTCTGACTTCTTTGTCTTTGTCTTTGCTTCCATTTCTTCTCTTAATTCGCATTGCTTTCCATTTTTGTTGTATTAGGAATCCCTTAGGATATCTCAACTTCTCAAAAGTTTTGTAAATATATTCAATCTCTTCCTGAAGATATTCCTTGCTGCATATTCTCAGTGCCCTAAGAAAGAAATTGATCACAATGTCGCTTTTTGTACGTTCACTATGAGCCGAATAAAAATGTGCACAGTCTTCCTTGTTTGTTGGTTTCCTGTATACCTTAAATTTAAAGCATGACTGAGTTCTCACGATACAGGTGTCCAAAAATGCCAGCTGTCCATCTTCTTCATTTTCAATGGTGAACTGTATCTTTGGATGTGTCTTATTCATTTCTTCGAGCATTTCGTTTAGGCTAGTGCCTTTTGGGACGATGACGAGGATATTATCCACATATCTTAGCCAAATCGAGTTCTCACCGATAATTTGCAGAAAATGCTCTTCTTCAAGAGTTTCCATAAAAAGACATGCCGCAATGGGACTTAATGGCGATCCCATGGCTAGGCCGCTACGTTGAACGTACTCTTCGCCGTTGTAAGAAAAACAACCGAATTTCATACATAAATCTACCATTTTCATGTAGTCGTTCTTCGGGAGAGGAAGTTCGTCTTCGTTCAGTGATTCGACTACTTTTCGTATGGCGTCTAATGCGTCGTCAACGGGAACGTTGGTGAATAATGACTTCACATAGAAGCTTGCTAATTTCCTGTCAGTGGCGTTTGTTATGTCTGCGATTTGTGACCTCATTTCGGAAGTGTTTTTGATATGAGTGGAGCTGATGGTTCCTAGGCGTGTACTGAGATGTTTTGCCAGTATCTTCGCAAACTTGTATGGCGCGCTTCCTATTCCTGAAGTGATAGGACGCATTGGCATGTCGGGCTTATGTACTTTTGGCAATCCTTTCATTTTGGGCAGGGTGGGCGCTTCTTCAATCAACTGATACAACCCCTTGCCCTTTTCTGAACTTCTTAAGATTTTTCTTGCTTTTTTGTTAAATGTTTCGCTTTGCTTTTTCCCATGACCACTTGGAACTTTCAAGTATATGTTTTCGTCACGCAGCATTTCTTTCATTTTCTCGTCATATCTCTCAGAATCCATTATGATTATACCTCCGCCTTCATCAGCCTGAGTTACGATGATGTTTCGGTCACTTGCCAGTTGTTTAAGTGCTTGCGTGTATCGTCTCGGCAATCTGCTCGGTTCGCTGTCCGCCAGCGCTTTAAAACAGGTCAATATACCCTGAATAAATCCTTTGTCTGTCTCACTCTCGCTTTTCTTGTAATTTTGCCCGATACGTTCCGCTAAGGTGTAACGATCCTTCCCGGAATCAAACTTCAATCCTAAAGCAAGAGCTTCTTCTTGATATTGAGAAAGTTCTCGTGATGATAGGTTCTGTACGAGGTCAACATTTCCAACTTCTTTCCACTTGCTTGTGCAGCAAAGTTTCTCGAGTTTTCGTTTCAGTCTCTTCTGTTCTTCTTCGTTCAGTTGTTTTAACTCCGTTTCATGTCTTCTGGCTAGTTTTATTCCTCGTAGTTGGTCTTTTAAAATATAAATGTTGTCTTTGATTTCAGCACACTCTTCCTCCAGATATACCCTTGCAGTGTCACTAAAAGGTTTTGAGCTGTTTTTCATCGCAGTCGGAGCCGAGTTGGGAAGTACTTGTTCCGCTAAACAATCCTCTAAGAACTTTAGACGGTTGAGGCAGCTTGAAATCATTTTTCTTACGTTAAATTCACACATTTCTTGTGAATTTCTTGTGTTATTTGAGTTTCCATGTCTCCTCGGAGGGACGTCGCTCTGCAATGGAACGGGCTCCTCGTCTTGCAGGTCGGGTGACCGCCTCAGCTCCTCGTCTTGCGGTTCTTCCGCCTGCAACGGAACCCACAATAAGGTTAGTAAAACTATAACTAGGGTGATCCGCTTGCTCCACAACGCAAGGAAGGGTTATTTTTGACCCGAAGGTGTTGGGTTATTTGTTTGTCGATTGGATTGGGATCAATTTCGTTCGATTCCTTTTTGAGGGTCAAACTTTAACAAATTTGCACCAAAGCTTTTTTACAACCAATATCTTGATATCAAGAATACCTATATTTTAGGGTTTAAATCGAAAATTAAACGGACCCTCCCACTTTCAAATAAGTTAATGAATTGGCATACAAGTAATGTACCGTGGTTCGGAAAGAGCAAAAATGAATATCTACCAAATTTCGCCGAAAAATGTTCACCGGCTTTGAGGTATATGATTTTAACTTTTCTCTATTTTTGGCATAGGCGCGGGAGCCGGGGGGGGGGGGCAGTGGGGGCAGCTTGCCCCCCCAACTCTGGGGCCGTGGGGGCGGTGCCCCACAGCTTTGAGAAGGAATATCACACTTTTTTTGCAAATGTTTTCTTTTTTTGTTGAAAAAGCCGAGGGGTGAAAATAAGTGTCCTAAAACCGGTGAGAAAACTAGATTTGGGGGTACCCTAGGTTTATCTCTATTATGGTGTGCCCCCCCCAGTCGGAAAGTAGTTCCCGCGCCCCTGATTTTTGGGACCTCCGCTGTTCCTATGATGCTATTTGGAAGCAATAATTTGGTATCTTGAAAGTGCGACAGATATTGCGCGCAAAGCAGTAGGTATATAGCACAGGGGAGCAATGCCGCTTCAACCCTATTGGCCGTAGTGTCTAACGGTGGCGGCCATATTGCGCAGACCAGGAACCGGCTGCCGCCTGTGTTGAGGAATAGGGAATTCGGGACCTCGATTTACGTTTGCGGCCGCCGCAGCCGTTACGTTCAAGTTACGTAGATACAGTACCCGGCATCTTACGCAGAATTGAGTGGGGAACACGATCGTATCTTCAGAATTCCTCAAATTCACTCGCCGGACCTACATTTGCCCCGGCCGAGGGGGTTGATTGAACCCACCTCGCTAATGCGCCGCTAATTAAACTAGAATTAAGCGGTAAAGTGGTCGTATGCGGCAAAATATAATGCAGAGTGACTGGTAAGAACCCACTGTAAAGGTCTCAGGTCAACCGGTGAACTCTAAGGTGTCAAGTGATCTAAGGCACGGGTTCGGTTTTTGGTAAATTACTTCGCCAAAAATGGCCGTAGAGCCGCGATTTTGGCATCATCGTGTTCAGCTAGCTCGAACGGAGATATCGAACGGAGATAATATACCATTAAGTGAAGAGAGAAAGGTGACTTCTGTCAGCTGACCAGTGTGCAGCGAGCAGATACACTCTGCTACTGGTATTTTTGTTGTTGATTTTTTTGAAATGTAGTTTTGTTTAACCCGCGCCCCGTAGGGGGGGGGGGGGCCGAAACGCCCCCCCCCTGTCCTTTTCGGTCGATATCTCCTAAACGGCTGGAGATATCGCCACCAAACTTTCAGGACCCCTCCGGGCATCAATTTTACACATTGTGACCAAAAATTTTTCCAGAGGCTGTGATAGGTTGGCAACAAATGACGTCAGAGTGACGTCATGTTCTGTCATTTTCGACCGAAAAAAGACCTTCGCGAGAAGACCTGTCAGGCCTACACCTTTGAAGATACAGTAAAATGATCAAGACATAAAAGGTGTAGAATTGACAGGGCTACAAAACTGCTATCTCGGATTTTTGAAATTTTTGAGTTTTGATCCCCAAAAATCAAAAAAGCATTTTTTTGGATATATTAGCCGAAAAATCCAAAAAGTTTTTTGAGTTTCGAAAAAACCGGAATATACGTGATAGTACCTACCGTCTTCTATCTACATACCAAATTTCAGATCGATACCTCGTTTTTTGGCCAATTTATAGCGAAAAAACTGTTCAAAAATGATGACGTCAAATTTTCAAACTCAATTTTTGGCAATTCTAGAACTCGTAGAGCAAAACAAAGACCACCATTAGACTCCCCGTGACAAGCTGCATCGAATGTATACCCATTTTATGCAAAAATATCAACTTTGAAATTTGACCTAATTTGACCTGACCTTGACCTGACCTTCACCAAAACGTGACCTAGGCTGGCCCCAAAGGCTGCCTAACCCACATAATCGCATTTGTCATGTAAAATGGACCATAAAACATGTATCACACGACACATTCATATTGTGACCCCCGGTGACCTGACCTCGCTGTGACCTGACCTGGTATCAGTGACCTCAGATAGCAAAGTATGTGTTTGACGAACAATATACCATCGATGGTTTTCAATAAATTACCAATTTACTCGATTTCACAGCACATTTCTTGAATTGCCTGTGAACGGTGAAAATCTGACCTTTGACCTGACCTGTGACGTCATCGGTTTGACCTAGGTCAATGAAATTTGGTCACAAGGTAGTTCCCGGGTAGGGCTATCAAACGCCGTTTGAATTTTGAAAATCGGCCGGTAACTTTCCGAGATCTTAGGGGGGGGGGGGGGGCCGAAACGGCCCCCCCCCCCCTACGGGTGGTAGGGTCCGCCGGTAGCCCTACGGGGCGCGGGTTAAATTGTCGTGCCTATCTGTTTATGCATCAAACAACATTGGTGCTGGCGAAATTATCGTTTTTTTGGCATGCAAAGGCAGAGTGTTCAAATTACCCCACGTCGGAGCAATTTGAACACACCGTAATTTGGTGGAGAAGTGAGGCTATGCTATTCAAAGTTTGCTCGCTTCGTCCAAAAATAAGGCTTGCATGGTGAAAGCAAGTGGTGTTTGCACCACTGAAACTGTTTTACTTTAACCCGCGCCCTGATGGGGGCCATTTTGTCCCCTGTGGTTTTTCTTAAATAGCGAAGAACGGCGGCGCGCAGCGCCGCAAAATTTTCAGTACCTTCTTGAGCATCAATTTGACACCTTCACACAAAATTTCAAGTCACAGGTCACCTTGGGTCAGGAGTTATTGAGGTCAAACTGAGGTCATGTTCGAGCAAAAATGAGCAAAAAATATGACATCTTGAAACGCTCACCAAATCTACAGTTAACAAGCAATTTTAAAGTTCTTTATGTGGTGGTGTAGAGAAAAAACGGCGCTACAAAACTGCTATCGCGGATTTCCAAAATTTTGGGATTTTGATAAAAAAATAGGAAAAATATTTTTTTTTAGCAAAACTCGAAAAATTCCATAAAAATTCCGAATTTCGAAAAACCCGGAACAAATATGATAGTCCCTTTGCTCTTCTATCTACATACCGAATTTCAGATCGATACCTCCTTTTTTGGCCAAGCTATAGCGAAAAACTTCAAAATTGATGACGTCAATTTTTTAACTCAATTTTTCCCCGTGACAAGCTGCATCGAATCGATACCCATTTTATGCAAAAATATCAACTTTAAACTTTGACCTAATTTGACCTGACCTTGACCTGACCTTCACCAGAGCATAACCTAAACTTGCCCCAAGGGCTGCCTGACCCACATAATCGCATTTGTCATGTAAAATGGACCATGAAACATGCATCACATGATATTTTCATATTGTGATCCTCAGTGACCTGACCTCTGTGACCTGACCTGGTATCAGTGACCTCAGATAGTAAAATATGTGTTTTATGGACAATTCCCCAGCGATGATTTTCAATGACAAGCATTTGCCTCGATTTTACAACGCATTTCTTGGAATGCCTGTAAACGGTGAAAATTCGACCTTTGACCTGACCTGTGACGTCATCGGTTAGACCGAGGTCAATGAAATTGGGTCACAATGTAGTTCTCCGTTGGGGCTATCCAACGCCGTTTGCCGCTTGTCGCTATGTTGCGTGGTTCTCGAGATCTTAGGTGGGGAGGGGCCCAAAATGCCCCCCCCCCCTCCATCAGACCGCGTTGCCCGGCAGACCTTATCAGGGTGCGGGTTAACCAGGGTTCAACTTAACCCGCGCCGTGCTGGTGGCCTGAACTTTCCGCCGAGTGCTGGGGGGGCGTTTTCACGCCCCCTCGTCTAACTCGGCTCCTGGGCCACGTAGCGACACGCGGTAAGCGGCAATCGAAAGAGCGTCAAAAATAAGGACGAAAACACTTCGGTCATTTTTTGGGTCAGGTCAAAGGTCAGGTCACCAGAGGTCACCAAAGGTAAAATGTTGACTATTTCATTATTTTGGAAACTGCCAACGGCTATCTCGGGAACCGATAGAGCTACAGCGCCGCGGAAAAGCGCATTCGATAGCCCTTTTACAGACCTTTCTGGGTAATGTTCTCAGATTTGACCTCAGGTCAACGGTTTAGCCTCCAGAGGGCAAAAACTCCAAAAATAGCCGTTTTTACGAAAAACGTTTTTTCGTCAATAACTTTTGACTCATAAGCGCCATGACATTACTTTTGCCAGCATCGTGTTCCTCTCGTCGAGACGCGTCGAATGAACTATTCGTTGACATTGAAAGGTCATTTTGAAAATTTGACCTCAGGTCAAGGTCATGACCTGACCGAAAAGGGTCATGTTGCATATCAGTCGATCCGTATCGTCGAGCTGAACACATCTGACGTGTTTTCACCGCTCTAGCACGTCTCTATCAAAAGTTATAGCCAAAAAACTGCTGGCGACCGTTCATGACCTGAGATGACCTCAGGGGCACACAGAGGGGTCACAGGTGCATTTTTCCTATTCAGTGTGTCATGTTTACCTATGAACCGATGTTTGAGAGCGTTTTGAACGATATTCGTCCAAAAGAGGCGCATTTCAATTTTCTCCCATTGACTTATAATGGAGAGGTCGCAAAATTGACCTGACCTTAGGTCACAGATATCAAAAATCCGAGATATACATTTTATACATACTGTTACTCATATCAATCGCTGAAAGTTTCAAAGTGATCGTTCAGTCGGTGTAGCTATAGCGAGCCTTTGAACTTTTTCTGAGGTAAGGTCACTTGACGTGACCTGGTGACCTGACCTTGAACGGCCTAGGTCTGAAATTTTCACAACATGTGCGGAAATGATGTAGGAACACGTGTACCAAAAACGGCGGCGCTGCGCGCCGCCGTTTTTGAGATAATCGCGAAAAACCTGAGGGGGGGGGGGGGGGGCGTAAAAACGCCCCCCCCAGCACGGCGCGGGTTAAGATTTTTGTGTGACGGAGAACACTTTAAAAAATATGTTATATTATACACCCCTTCCCTACCCTATTTCGTCCGTCGATTGCAATACTACATCGCACATCATCAATATATAGTAATACCGGACATTATGAACTTTGCCTATTCAAGGCACTGGCCATTTCGAACACTGCACACATCGTGCCCTGGACACTATGAACCCTGGCCTATATAATACTCACCCGCGCCGTGGCGTCAATGGTGTCCTCGTGGCTGAGCGGTATGGACGGGCGTCGCCGGCGTGCCTCATCGTCCGACGAGTCCTCTACCTCCACCGGACGGCTCACCGGCGCCGGAGGCGTCACGGGGAGCGGCGCGCCGTTCGACACGGCCGGCGGTGGCGGCGGCACCGGGGCGGGCGAGCTGACCCGCTCTCCGTTATTGTGCCGCGGGGACACCAACGACCGCGAGTGATCCCGGTCGCGGTCACGTCTGTCCCGGTCTCGCTTGTGTTTCCTGAAAATGAGCGAAGAGCCGTCACCGCAAGGCAATCCACGACCTATGCTAAAATGCACAGGCGAGTTATCAACAGGTCAGCTTTTCTTCATAATGCAATAGCACTGAAAAAATAAAATACCCGTCGGAAATTTTCGGGGTGTCTGACACCCTTATTACAGTTGTAAAGGTGTAGGTATATGGTACAGGGAGTATGCGATTATACGTTCTGCTTATGTAAGTACCACACAGATCTTTGTATAACTTCTAAATAATTATTAGGGTGTGGGTATTTTGAGTGCCAGACACCCCAAGACACTCTTAAAACACCCATGTGAAGCGTATATTTCATTTGTTAAAGGGACTAGCCCACCTTAAAAAAGTCCCGTTTAGGATTCGAAAATGTTACTCAGGGTAGTGTGACGAATTCTGCAAGTTTTTACGCATTTTCATACTCTACTTTTTGAGATATTGCGATTTTTATATTTCATCGTGACGTCATTTAGATCGTATCTGTGACGTAATGAAGGATTTACTTCATGCCAATGAGGGGGGAAATTTGGCAGCAAATTTATTTGCTTTCAAATATGACGCGGCTCATACAATAACAATAGTGTCTCTGATTAGGCATTTTGTAGTTGGCAATATGATACCTTGATGATATCCAGTCAATGTAAGTCTGTTGGATAAAAACGATAGCCCGACTCGAATTATAAACAAAGTGCGAGATTTCCCCGGCGCCGATTTCAACTTATTCGTAAAACAGGTCGAACGCATGAAACGGCTGATGACGTCATCAAATGGCCGTTAATAGTTAAGAGATAGGGCCTTAGCTAAGGCCCACTTTTCAAATGAAGGGAACGAATTTCTTTAACACCACGAAACTGAGGATATTGCGACCAGGATATATAGTGGTTTCTGAACCTGGCCGCCAACTTGGCTATCTCAACTCAGAACTAATGCAAAGGTGGGACAGTCCCTTTAAAGGTAGTGTGCCACCTTCCAATGATTTCCCATTTTATTTTTCCTAGGATAAGAAGCTTCTGTTTTTTCCTAATATAGCAAAAAAAAAAATCAAAAATGGGCCTGGAATAGTGCCTTTTTCGCCTAAAAGTTTATCGGTTTTTCGATATGTATAACAATTGTAGTGGGCTGACCTGCAAACAGGCGTCGGCAACAATCGCGAATGCGGCGCACATGTGACAATAAGCAAAGGTCATTATAGAGTTACGATGTACGGGAATGAGTTATCAGCTGTCTAATCGTAGACAACACAATGTCGAACCTTAAACTGTAAGCCTGTATTGGTATTGTTTCTTTTATTTGGCTGTCGAACATTATTTATGGTTTGAAATATGATTTTATGTAAAATAATTGATATGAAAAAGCCGTCTCTTAAGTTATGACCCCATTTCACCACACGCAAGTGGCAGAAATGACAATGATCAGCTGACGCATTTTTCTTGGCCGAAGTCAGAGCGCGCGGCCCGACGCACCACCACCGCACCACAAAGTATGAGCAGAAGCCGCGCCCAAAGCCAGGGCCCCGGTAACGTGAGGTAGCCGAGTGGGGGCAGCGTGCGCTGACCCAAGCCGGGGCCGCGGCTTTGGGCGCGGTCTACCGCATCCCCGCGGGCAGCCCCGGGCTATCACATGACACCGGGAGGACGCGCGGCCCCGGCTTGGGTCAGCGCACGCTGCCCCGACTCGGCTACCTCACGTTACTGGGGCCCTGGCTTTGGGCGCGGTCTACCGCACCACCTAACAGGCGTGTTCGAAACCGCAGGAGATGATGATGAACGGGTTTATCGAAACTTGATTGGATGAGCCTATCGGTAATAGCGATTTCAGTGTGTGCATTTATTGTTCATAGTGGTGTGAAATGTGGTTGGGTACGACCGACAACCCGTCGGGGCGAATTTCGCACTGGGGTACTCAAAATTTGAAGAATTTAAGACGTTTCCATGAGTTTTGAAGGTATGGATAATTTCTAAAAATCTGGTTCTCCTTATCTGGGCCATTAACTCCATACGGTCCAGGAAAGCTGGCACACTACCTTTAAAGGTAGTGTGCCACCTTTGAAAGATTTCCCATTTTATTTTTCCTAGGATAAGAAGCTTCTGTTTTTACCTAATATCGCAAAGAAAATCAAAAATGGGCCTGGAATAGTGCCTTTTTCGCCTAAAAGTTTATCGGTTTTTCGATATGTATAACAACTGTAGTGGGCTGACCTGCAAACAGGCGTCGGCAACAACCGCGAATGCGGCGCACATGTGACAATAAGCAAAGGTCATTATAGAGTTACGATGTACGGGAATGAGTTATCAGCTGTCTAATCGTAGACAACACAATGTCGAGCCTTAAACTGTAAGCCTGTATTGGTATTGTTTCTTTTATTTGGCTGTCGAACATTATTTATGGTTTGAAATATGATTTTATGTAAAATAATTGATATGAAAAAGCCGTCTCTTAAGTTACGACCCCATTTCACCACACGCAAGTGGCAAAAATGACAATGATCAGCTGACGCATTTTTCTTGGCCGAAGTCAGAGCGCGCGGCCCGACGCACCACCACCGCACCACAAAGTATGAGCAGAAGCCGCGCCCAAAGCCAGGGCCCCGGTAACGTGAGGTAGCCGAGTCGGGGCAGCGTGCGCTGACCCAAGCCGGGGCCGCAGCTTTGGGCGCGGTCTACCGCATCCCCGCGGGCAGCCCCGGGCTATCACATGACACCGGGAGGACGCGCGGCCCCGGCTTGGGTCAGCGCACGCTGCCCCGACTCGGCTACCTCACGTTACCGGGGCCCTGGCTTTGGGCGCGGTCTACCGCACCACCTAACAGGCGTGTTCGAAACCGCAGGAGATGATGATGAACGGGTTTATCGAAACTTGATTGGATGAGCATATCGGTAATAGCGATTTCAGTGTGTGCATTTATTGTTCATAGTGGTGTGAAATGTGGTTGGGGTACGACCGACAACCCGTCGGGGCGAATTTCGCACTGGGGTACTCAAAATTTGAAGAATTTAAGACGTTTCCATGAGTTTTGAAGGTATGGATAAGTTCTAAAAATCCGGTTCTCCTTATCTGGGCCATTAACTCCATGCGGTCCAGGAAAGCTGGCACACTACCTTTAAGGGAGCTTGTAGGGTGTACGAACTTCCGCCAACACCTTCAAGAATGTCAGTTAAAGGTTGGCCGGCCGGCCGGGCGCGCGGCTCGCCACCCATCAGGGTGACGGGTCGCGGGCCCGGCCGGCGGCCTGGGACATCGCCCCAGCGAGAACGGGTATGTGCATTGTGCACGTATGTACGTAGGCGTACACACATGTGGAATTCGCGGGGCGATGCGGGGCGGAGCGGGGTTTGTGAGCGTTTGTTGCGCTCGCATTGGCACATGCCCAATATGTGCAATATGTGCATACCTTAGTGACATGTGATACACGATGCAAGTGTACCTATACATCATATATGCGTATATGAACGAAATAAATGTGAAAAAGGTAAGGTATCACACAAAGCACCACATTCACACATCACACTGGCACGGCCGGTACTCCTCACTTGTGTTTGCTGCTGGAGTGCTTATGTTTGTGACTCTGGGAGCGTTGGTGGTGCTTCTTCTTCTTCGACGTGTGTGACGACCGGCCGCACGCGTCGTCCTCGGGTGAGGCGCTGCGGGAGCGTTTTGAAGCCGACTCGCGCCCGAACTCGTCCGGAGACGACCTGTCCAACACAATCACGTAGCTCAAACAGGGCCGCCCCATCAGCGACGGCTCTGGGCGAGGGTGACGGGACTGACAGGATTATGTGCTGCTCTACCAAAACTACTACATGGTTCGAAACATTTTAATAGCTTGTAATCCACATATTGACAGGCTGTGCAAAGATATAATCTTATGAAAATATACATCATCTGACAGACACGCCAGTAGGTATGCAGAGTATGGCTGTCATTGCAGAGCCTGGCATGGTTTAAGGGTCTTCCAAGTCAAATTCCTAAAACATCAGAGATTGAAAAATAAAGGTTCTGCAATTTGTTATGCTTGTAAATGGCCTAAGCTAGAGACACTTCAGTTATAAATCCACGATTGCTTGTGAGAATCAGGAGTAAATGACAAATTGACTAAGTCTACATTATAAATCCTAAAAAGTAGGTACCCCGCCGCCGCCGCCGTGTGCAACGTATCGCCCTAGTAGCGCTTATTGCGGCGGCGCCTGTTGACATACGGCCGTGAAATTTTCCGGATGTGTGGACTGTGGGTCACGTCAACATGTAGCTACAGTCTGTAGCTCGTATTAGATTTTGGGCATGATGATTGGGGGTTTGCCTTTCGCGCGTGCTCACGTGCGGCTGCACCATGGGGTTAACCAATAACCATCGCCGGACCTATTGGTTTTCTATTTATGCTTCTAGCCCCATTCTGTTTGATACGTAAAATTAACTAGATCAAAACATATACATAGTTATCGCGAAATCCTGTATGTAGTCTAGTAAATCCGTAACCCGCGCCGGGCCGGTGCTCCGCGACTTCCGCGCCGGGCCGGGGGGGGGGGGGGTGTCTCAACACCCTCCGTCTAACTCGGCTCCCGGGCCACATAGCGAGACGCGGTAAGCGGCATTCGAAAGAGCGTCAGAAATACTGACGGAAACACTTCTGTCATTTTTTGAGTCAGGTCAAAGGTCACGTCGCCAGAGGTCATCAAAGGTCAAATGTAAGCCATTTCAACAATTTTGGAAACTGCCGACCGCTAACTCGGGAACCAATAGAGCAACAGCGCCGCGGAAAAGCGCATTCGATAGCCCTTTTACAGACCTTTCTGAGAATTCCTCTCAGATTTGACCTCAGGTCAGCAGCCTAGCCTCCAGAGAGCATTAACTGTAAAAATAGCCGATTTCACCAAAAACAGTTTTTCGGTGATAACTTTTGCTTCAAGCAAGCCACGACATTACTTTTGCCAGCATCGTGTTTCTCTCGTCGAGACGCGTCGGATAAACTATTCGTTGACCTTGAAAGGTCAGTTTGAAAATTTGACCTCAGGTCAAGATCATGACCTGACCGGAAAGGGTCATGATGCATATCGGTCGATCCGTATCGTCGAACTGAATACATCTGACGTGTTTTAATCGCTCTAGCCCGTCTCTATCAAAAGTTATAGCCAAAAACCTGCTGGTGACCGTTCATGACCTGAGATGACCTCAGAGGCACACAGAGGGGTCACAGGTACGATTCAGTGTGTCATTGTTACCCATGAACCGATGTTTGAGAGGGTTTTGAACACCATTCGTCCACAAGAGGCGCTTTTCAATTTTCTCCCATTGACTTATAATGGAGAGGTCGCAAAATTGACCTGACCTTAGGTCACCGATATCAAAATTCCGAGGTGAACATTTTGTACATACTGTTACTCTTATCAATGGCTGAAAGTTTCAAGGAGATCGTTCAGCCACTGTAGCTCTGACGAGGATTGAAACATCTCAGGAACGGCTGGACCAATTTCGGGGGTAGGGCCATGCTCCCCCCCAAAGCCCGTTTGCCCCCCCCCAAAGACCCGAGTTTTAACATTGCGCCTATGGCGGTGCATGGAGAGGAAGGGGCCACTTCGGCCATTTGCCCCCCCCCCCCACCCACAAAAAAAAACGTCCGGCTGGATCTGCCAATGAAACGTAAAGAATTATCAAAATTGTGAATCGAACGTTGTGGCCGGACATACTTACACAACTTCCGTTCCGTTCATAAGAGCCGAAGCTGTGTTAGAGTCAAATGAGGAGAAGGCTCTAGCTATTAATCACATGAAGTTCGCCCTGTCCAAGTAATAATTGACTTTCAGTAATTTTGATGAATAAATTTGTCCCAAAAAAATTATATGAGTACCAAATTGCAATTGCCAGGGGCGTGACCAGGTCAGAGTGGGTGGGGGTGACAAAATTACAAGTACTTGAAAACTCGCCGATATTGGCTACGTTTCCATGGCACAAGCTAAGCCGATTTTGAAAAATGGATTTGCTTCATCATAGCATTTAGGCAAAATTTAAAAACGTAAATATAGGATTAGGTGCTAGCTAAAACCATATATGTTCTCATTTTTTGCATAAGGTAAATAGTTTCCGAGAAAAACGCACGTGAAATTTCGCTAAATCGATTTAGACGTGTCATGGAAACGTAGTGATTGTATTCTGTTTTCTTGGAACTGGAAGCATCTCTAACGTTTTGAAATTCATGCATTTCGAGGTACTGAGTGGCGTGGGATGCTCCATGTTTCACTAACATTCACTTTATTAGTATTTTTATTCCCACCCGGCCGAAGGGGAGGGTTTGATGTGCAGCCCCAACGGTTTTCTCGATATTGTTTGCAATGCTGTAAGGCTGGAGAGCTGAAAGTTGACATGCTTCAACATTGATTTAGCCCTAATCTGTTGACACCAACAGAACAGGCTCAGGTCAGCTTACTGACCTATGACGTCACAAATAAACCTCGGAATGATGCAAAAAGTTGCAGCTTTGCAGTGCTCTCAGTGTTCGGGGGATGCAGGCCTTTTGCAGGGGATGAAACAAGTAACGGCATATAGTAACGGCTCTTGAGATTTCACAACATCAATTCCTCCAACTTTCCTAAATTTTTCACCCGAGGTCAAGCTGGTCACGTGACTTTACTAATATAAGTCAATAGGAAATATTGAAACATTGAAACTGTTATTTGGATGCCGAAAATGATCCAAGCCCATCTCGAACGCCTGTAATCGTGATTTCATACACTTTTGCAATGAGCGATTCTTAGGTTTTGCATTGAGGACCTTGCAATACGTCGTATATGCCGTTACTTTGTATGGTCGTGTGAGGTCATCGGTTTTCTTTTATCAATGACTGAATGGAAATAATCTAACGAGTCGAGTAAGCCACCAGTGAACTTAGGGAGCCCTGCTGAACCGAATCATATACTTACAATAGCCGTTTTCACGACGGTTATCTGACACACATTTATTGATATTTGATGGGATTTGGTCAAATTTGGTTCATAGTTGATACTTAATTGTTTTTAGCTTAGGTTGCGCTAGCTGCTTATTGACCTTATTTTTCAAATTATCAATCGTTACTTTTTACTCAAACATTAGAATAAAATTACGTTATGAAAATAGGTGCAGTAAAAGATTTGGCTAGATTCGTCTGATATCCGTCGCGAAAAAGGCTGAAATGGCCTTATTTGACCAGCTTCTTGACCTCAGAGGTTTTGATGTGGCCTCGACCTGAGGAAAACATCTTTAGCTGACCTCTTCCAAATAAAGTTTTATCATTGCGGCCAACCGGTGACCTCTGAGGTCAGGTCAAATGCAGGGATCTAAATTTCGGTCAATAAATCCCCCAAATGGTCGCAGCACCGTCATTTCGGTATCTGGCAAGGTTTTTCAGGTCACGAAACTGATCGATTGAGATAATACCTATACCTACAGCAAAAGTATCTGTCGATTCGACAGCTCATTCTGAGTACATTGATGTCCCTCCCCTCAATGTCGTCATTTTGTTCGGAATCTATTAACGAAAAACTCTCGACTCAATCAGCGTTAGTGACGTCATAAATGACGTTGCGTCATTATGACGTCACGCAAGGTCCACCAGCAAAACTAAAGCATCGGACCTTGCAAAGAATGCGTGAAGTAGGGGAGAGTGGGGTAATTTGGCCGCTTTTTTTAGAAAACGATGTAGCTAAAAATCGACAACACATTTCTGCATTTTCTCAACGCTGACAAGTGTGGCATACATTTTACTTTCCTGGACAGTAAACTTGAAACGATAGAGTAACTACTTATATTGAAATTGGGACGCATTACAAAGGTCTACAAAGCGGCCAAATTACCCCACTTTTTTTCTAAGATAGTCCGTTACCCATGATCAGGTAACCAGGAGTGCCCCCTCCCACAGTCCCGGCGACGCACAGAGACCTTACTTTAACACCAGGTAACATAATAAATTGATCAAGTCGCGGCACTTCCTGCTAAGAAGTGGAAAATATAAATAAAATATAACGCATGCAATACTACTAAAAATGTTAGTAAGTACGCCAAAAAGGATGAAAGTAGTCATTGCCGAGTGAAGCAAAATGACTGCCCACTATACCAACACAAGCAACTATCATTTATACCAGTGTTAGTAATTAACGAAATACGCATTCATACTCAGGTGGGGAAAAGCATGCCTGGTCATGTTCTTGCAAGGTCGTTTTTATTGCCGAAACCCTTGGCTCCGTCCGGCTAAGCTAGGCTTGTTGCCGGACAGAACCTCAGGAAACAGCACGGACTAGAGTATTATGAGAATTGGTACAATAAGTTGTATAAATGTCAAGGTAGGTAATGCATGTAGATACCATAAGGTAAATATGCAAATTGAAATAGACAATGATTGAGAAGGGCGGCACACAAGGATGTATTGTAGTTGGTATTTTAAATAGGTATACACGAATCGTTATGTTGTGTACATGTACGACATGCACATGCGTACATATATGCATATGCATTGTGTATGCGAAACATACACACATACATACACATACGACACATATGCATCCCACAAACCAAAGTGGGTAATATGTACCATTTCCAACGCACAGTACAACGTGGAAATAGCACATATTTATACCATTTCCACGCTGTATATATAGGGTTTGTATAAATAGCACATATTTATACAAACCCCTAACGATATACGAACAGTATAGCTATACAGAATATA